CATACAGCAGTTTATTGTCTGTATATTACAAGAGCACCATTATTTCCAGAATTAGAACTGCTTCAGCTATGGTAATTCAACTCCAGCACCCTTTGTACAAGACAACCCCCTTCCTTTTTAAATCAGTAGCCAGACTGATTTATTTATTCTTGGGACTTTTTTTTTCTTTGTTGCTTTGTGGTAATTATGTTTGCACTTTGTTGATCACCAGTTCTGTATTATTACAATGGAAGGTGACAATTTGATTGTCATCAGTTGCAGAAACAAGTAATTTTATATTCAGCAAGGTGTCAGGTAACAATACCTTACAGTACTGAGAGCTCCTGGCAATGTGGTTTGGCACCTATACTTAACAGCTTTCGATGCTTGTGTAACCTTTGCTGAATCAGAAATATTGTGCCCACTAGAAATGTTTTAGACTGGCACGATAGAGTTTAAATGAAACAAATAACCTACAACTAATTGTAGCAACTATTGTTTCATTCTAAAGCAAGGTACTAATTTGGTGGTTTACCGTGAAATGATTATATAGGTGAGCTTGAAATTGATACTTTATTCGCTTATCTTCAAGAAAATGTTTTGCTGAAATTTAAAGTTCAGGTTTGGAAATCAGTATCAAGTTACTGCATAAGAAAATTGCTTTGTTAGGAAAACAGTGCTGCTACATTCCATTGTTTTGATCACTTAGGGGGGGGGGAATCTTTGTATGATACAATGTGTATTTTGCCTGTTCCAGAATCAGAGACAACATATGAGCGATTGTCATGTTTACCAGTTTAAAACAAAGACGAATTTCAAATGCCTTTCATAGCTTCACATCATTATAAGATCCTTTTATGTTCTGTTAAAAAAATTTTTTTTTTGAAGAGTTATACTACTAAAATGTAATTATCCAAAGATCTTTTTTGTAGAACAACTGAGTTTTTGTAGAACAACTGAGACAACTAATAATTTGTAAAGAACATAATTGCTATAAATGTTTGACTGTGACCTCTCTTTAATGATGATTGGTTATGTTTATTTTTTTACTTTATGTTTTATTAATTGGACCAAAGCAACACACAGAAGCAAAACCTATGGATAAATCTGTCACTTCTGCCAATCCTATTGTGCCTATTTATGAAAATTCTTGCCCAAAAACTGCAAATTTCTTCTTCTTCTTTTTCTTGATATGAGATGAGAAATCAGATACACAAAGAACACATGGCAGAATCATACAATTTTCATGGCAGGCATCATAGAGAAGCTAATGTTAAACAGAGGTAGTTTACACGATGTAACATTATCAGCAGAAACAATTCATGAGTCAAAGCATTCCACAACATATGAGCTGCAATCCGAAGAACAAGCTTAAGCTGTATAAATAGAGCAACAGTGATATTATTGGCTAGATATAAACTGTAGAGATTAATGTTCAAGAGATCTTAATTGCTCTTGGAATCTTTGGTCTACAACACATTGTGCTTTACATTCTGGTCTCTGAATTCCCCCCCCCTTTTTTTTTCATTTGTGTACAGAGAGAGAGAGGGAGAGAGAAAGAGAAAATAAATATATGCATATACTTACTTGTACGTGTTTTAAGCCTGTTTCCTCTGTCAGTTGCTATTTAACCAAAATTTTTCTTTCCTATTTGATGCTCAGGAGTGGCTCTACCTTGTAACTCAGTAAATGGCCTTCTCTAGCTATCATTGGGGCAATGGAGAAAAAGTACACGAAGGCCTCTGTAGCAGTGGCTGAATGGTGCAGAAATACTTTGCAAAGTGTCAACATTAGCAAAGATTGTGAGCGCCATTTGGTCTCCCATTTGAGACAAGAAAATGCTTGACCCAGCACTGACACTTTTGATGAGTGCTACTGATAGCAATAAGAGAGGAACACATAAAAATAGTAAGGCAGTTTAGTTCTGAAAGCAGTCGACGACTTGAGCCTAATTGTGTCTTTTGAGCTTGGATAAGCAATATAGTAGACCTCCAAGATTTCCACTTGGAAGTTAGCAAAGATTGACTCCATCACCTCTTTTTATCCATAATGGTCTGATTCTCCAAGATCTTCAGTTTTCAGGCTCTCTGCCTATGTAGGCTTCCATATTGCACATGTTCCCTGTTTCCCTAGCCCCCATCCCTTCTTACTAGACATACGATCGATCTCCAAATTCACTGGATATTTTTTTATTATCAAAATGCCATTCTATTTTCCTCCCCACAGCCTTGTTAATGTTATGATCCTTAGTCTTCATCCCCAACTGTTACTGTAGAAAGATTACAAATCTTCTGTAGCATCATACCAATTTAACAGTGGTTGGGAGGATATTACTTACAGAAGCAAGCAGTGGAATTATCTGGGCCAGATGATTTTACCATCTTACCATACAATCCAATTAGCCTTCAGATATTTTGTTGTATAAATTTTATTAATTCTTCCAGAAGTCATTGTGATCACTCCCATGATTACAAGAAATTTCATTCAAAACATTAATGGGCTTCTGTGTCTCATACCCATTTTAGCCCCAGGTATGTATTGCCTATCTAGGAAATGTCTCCTCAGTCTCTGGCTGAGCATACTCAATTTCACTGAATCATAAAAGTGAATATATATACCAATAGCAGTTAGACTTATATATCACTTCACAATGCTTTACAGCACTCTCTAACCGGTTTACAGAGTCAGCATATTGGCCCAAACAACCTTGGTCTTCATTTTATTGACCTTGGAAGGATAGCAGACTAGTCAAACATGAGCTGGTCAGGATCGAACTGCTGGCAATCGGCATTAGCCTTCAGTAATGCATTCTAATCACTTTACCATGGGTCAATATATGTGAATGAGTGTATATGTTATTTTGATACAGATTCAACACATTATTTAAAAGTTGATGTTGTGTAATATTTATTAAGTAATTCCTGCCGGATACTAATATGGAATAGTTTGCCCCACATTTGTTTTAATTATATCATTTTAATTATTTAAATACATAGTATGGGTGTGTTGATTTAGCTGAGGAGTTTGCTTGGGGTTTCTCATATTTCTTTGCCTATTTCTACTGTGTTTTGCTGCCATTAAAGGCAGCAAATATTATTTTTTTATTTTAAATTTGTAAGATAGACTGGATGATGGAGAGGTAAACCTCAAATAAATTACTAAAATATATAATTAGGAATTAGGATCTGAATTCTGGAATATGTATAATATTGCTTTATTATTTTATCATGTTTTTATATATCTTTTAGCCAGAAAAATTAAAAATCTAATTAACAGTTTTTACAATGCCTAATTCTTATAGACCTCAGTGAATATATATAAGCATTTTATCATGTAATTTTGTTTTTAAGAAACACAGTTCAATATAGAGATGCCAGTGAGCATTGTACAAACAGCTGCACAACACATTCATACTGTAGTTTTTCCATTCAGGAATTGTGTCACAATGCAAATCTCACTATTGATTACTCTTGTACTGTCTCATTCCTGTCATGCATGTCCCTTGTAATTAGATATTATACATTATAATTTTAGGAAGTACTGTTTGTTTTTAAATATCAGATGGATTACACCATTACTTCAGCAATTAATTATGTGTCTGAATTATGGCTACAGAATATGTTTGGCAGGGAAATGATTCCAAATAATCTGGCACTGAGATTAAGGTTCCATTTCTCCCATTCTAATTAAGTCATGTTTTTCTGGAAATTGGTATTCTATGGTGCAGGTGTAGTAAATCATTTCTATGAGTGTTTGTGGAGCTGTTTTTGAAGAAAAATGAGCCTTGTTTCATTGAAAGAAATGAAGCTACACCCATTGGTAATACCTGTGGCCTAAATCTATACATAGAGCAAAAGTGTAGACTACTGTTATCATTCAGTCTGTAGATGCTCAAAACACATTTTTGAATGGTGGATATCTACCTTTTGTGAGGCAAGTATCAAAACAACACAGTGAAGAATAGATTTGGGTTTTAAAAAAATATGTTTTATGGTAGTTTCACTTTCTTTTTGGTCTTTTTATTATAAGACAAATGGAAGTCAAACGAGCAAGAATTTTATCTGCATGGTGAAGTGTAGCATTATGGAGGCTGAAGTCAGATTTAGATTCAAGATTGGTGCTTTACAATTTACATATGCCACAAGTTGTGTTTACTACATTTAGTAAATTTATGCTGCAATAAATTCACAATACCTGTTAGGGCGTGTCAAATTTTTCAACTTTCAATTTCCAAACATTAGGGATGCTCAAAAGTTGTGACATGCCTTGGGGATTGTAAAGATTTTTTGGTTACTTTAATATAATTTAGATGTGCTTGGTAAGTAATTACATAAATATCATAACTTTTTAACATTTTGCTTGTTTCACTTGTGGACATGCCCCATTAATGGGATAGATGTGTGTAAGATTGCACTGTCAACATATAAAATGGCACTTGCAAGATATTGTAAAATATCTTGGAAGAAAAAGTGGTTGGTAGTAATATCAGTATTCAAATTCTGCTCTTTCAAGAGGGAATCCTATGAATTGAAAGAAGGCTAAAGTTCTTGGTTAGAATGTAAATGAGGAACAATAATGAAAAAATTAAAATCTGAGATCTGAACTGGAACAAGATAACCAGAAAGGAGAGCAAACTGAATCACAACTGAAAAAATATGAAATGTTGTGTAACTCCAAGATATATTGTATGGCAAGAAATATACACAGGTTATCATTGTGTACTAGCACGCTTCTTTGAATTTATAGAAATGGATTGAATTATTGTAGCTTCCAGCCGTTGGTGGGGAAAACACTAAACTGCACCTTTAAAATTCCAGTTTTGAACCTAAAACATGTTGCATCTGTATACTGCAGAGTAGTCCAGTTCCAAAAGAAGCAACAGATATTTACAGAAATATACTGTTATGCATCTGTTACTTGCATTGTGAATTTTGCTTTATCTTATTTAAAACTAAACCTATCTGTTTAGCTCTAACAGAATAAATGGATCTGAGTGACAATACAACTTTCTCTTGAAATAGTGTCAGATGTCATCTAGGAATTCTACAACTTGAAATCACAAGACTTAGGTAAAAACTTTTTATCAGCATATGCTTCTCGCAAAAGGATTAATATGCCAACTACTTTGCAGAAGTTTGGGTCAGCAGCTTTTATCAGAAATAGTCTACATGTAAAAAGCTTGTATTGATTAATTTTGGGAACATCTAAATTTACATTGAGATTTTGTTTAGATAATAGGTTCACAAACTCAAAATAATATTTGATGTGATGATGATGGGAACTCTCAAAGTACTGTGGCATATGTTTATGTAATATGTAATATATATGTAATACTGTAACATCTTTATAACTTTCAATCTCTCTTCTATATCCTTGAATGTGTATTGTTTAAAAGCTACTTAATGCAGTCACCATGATTTTCTCATATGTATTTGCTATGCAATATGATGAAATGATTTTTTTAAAAAAAGGGATATCAAATTGGATGCTTCTCCTTTTATGACTGTACCACTATAGACACTTGTTCAAAGAAAGTTGGATCGATTTGATTGCATTTAAATTTTTCATGCTTCAGCAGTTTGTCTGGGAGAACACTAAAGAAAGAAAACCCCACAAGTGAGAAGAGTTTAGAATAATAGAACTTGATTTTGTGCATTATAGCAGTACCATTTAGACCGCCTTAGTTAGGTTGTGTCAGCACTTCCATTATAAATCTCTGTTTTCAGGGGTTATAAGTGGCAGAGAGTTTTTTTCTATTTTTTTTTTTTTTTGAATAAACAAAAACAAACTTTCTGGAAAGTAGTGATCTGGCTGTCATTATAAATTTATTACACACAAAGAATTAGTAGGTAAACCAAGCAGTAGCATAAAGTCAAAGTAATCTTAGAAGATGAGTGATTCTTAAAGTGCCATGCAATCCTATGGGAACATGTCCATTGTATTCATGCTTTTTAGCACATTCTACCAATTGTAGTCCTTTTCTAGTCACATTTAAAACTCAAATTTCTGTAAAACTTTTCTGTAGCATTTTATTATTTTATACACTGCAGCCCCCAAATGGCAAAGGGAATACATATATTATGGGAATAAACAGGCTATGATGTGATTTTCAATATGGCACAAGACATAATTATTACATAATCCCATTCCTCTAAGGCCAGCTCTCTTTTGTAATTGCAGTGTTAGGCTGCCCTCCAATATACACACTGGAAGTAAGCCCCACTGCACTCCGTAGGACTTAATTCCAAGTGAATGTATTTAAGATTGTGCTTTTGTGGCTGTGCTTTGCTATACAAGTAGCACGAATAATCTCTATAGAGTATTGTGTATCTCTTCTCAGTCTCTAAGTTCTGTTTCTGGTTTTATTAAACATGGAGAAGGAGTGTTTGTAGAGATTTTCAGTCATTCAGGTGACGGTTGTCTCAAAGGTGTTTTTTCAAAAGGCAACTGGACTATGTTTTTTTTTCTTGAGAAGATGTTTGCTTCTCATCCAAGAAGTGTCATCAATTCTTACTGATGAAGCTTCTTGGATGAGAAACAAAACTTCTTCCTCCTCAAGGAAAACATAGTCCAGTTGCCTTTTGAAAAAGCACCTTTGAGACGTGGAGAAGGAGAAAAGTTTATGCTAAGAGTGTAATAAGAGAAGTACAGTAGTGTCAATTGGAGGGTCTTTTTAAAAATGCATTCCTGAAGTAAAGTTTCTCCAACCTGGAACTGAGGAGAAATTTCCGGAGAGTGAGAAGAGCGGAATGGCTCACCGCCAGAAGTTGTGGGTGCTCCATCACAAAGAGATTGAACAACCAGTTGTCTGAAATGGTATAACAGAGATTGGATGAGAATACTTCCAAAATCCCTTCTACTCTTGTTATTCTATAAACACTATCTTTAAAGATCAGTAATGGAGATAATTAAATCTTAAAAGGAGACCATGAATTCAACTTAGGTATGAAAGCTATCAGGGTGAGTTTAGGCCAGACACTCATTCTCAGCCTGCCACACCTCACAGGGTTGTTGTTGTTGGGAAAAATAGGAAGAATACTCGGTATGCTAGCTGCCTTGAGGTATGCATAAAAATAAAAAGGGGGGAAATAAATAAAAATATTTTAAATTTCAGAAAATTTGGTTACATCATAAGTATAACCGCATAATGTGTTTATTTAGATTTTCCATTGAAATAAGGATAAGCAGTAACAGCAATATTAGATAATTATTTATGGAAGCAATAACTACAAATAGTCCTTGACTTACAATCATTTATTTAGCAACCACTTGAAATTTACAACAGCGCTGAAAAAAGTGACTTGCAATCAGTTCTCTCACTTAGAACCATTGCAGCACCCCAAGGTCACATGATCAAAATTTGGCAATCGGCATGCATTTATAATAGTTGCAACATCCTGGGCCATGTGATTGCCATTTGCAACCTTCATAGCCAACTTTTGATAAGAAAGGCAAGGTAGCAAGCTGGATCTGCTTAACGACTGCATGATTCACTTAATAACTGTATCAATTCACTTAATAACCATGTCAAAAAAAGGTTGTAAAATCAGCCCAACTCGTTGAACAAATACCTTGCTTAGTAACAGAAATTCTGATTCCAATTGTGGTTTTAAGTTGAGGACTGTCTGTTCTATTGTGTTGTATCCTACCTTTCATAGGGAAAGGTTAATTTTATCTGCTTTAAAAAAAGAAAAAAGAAAGGTAAAACAGAACAAATGAAAACTAGATGTGTGCTTTTAGTAAAAATCTGAAGCAACTACTTTTTCGATAACTGTTGCAACAATGCATGGAAATGGGAGTGGAAAGATAACTGCTTGTCTATTCATCCCAGAATTTATAATCTGAATCCACCCCTGAACTACAATTCAATTACTTTATCTATTGATTTAAGAAAATTTATATGGAACCTGAACTCATTCTCAGTGACTCTGGGTGGCTTACAAAGATAAAAGTCTCATATAAAAAAACCAAAAAGCAATAACATCCCATCTCCCTAGTAAAAACAATCATTCAAACAAGCCACTTAATGGGTTGTATCCCATTCTGGGTTCCCCAGGTCCATTGGCAAAACCAGTCCTCAGGGCCTTGCAAAAGAGTGTCAAAGTGGGGGCCTATCTTCACTGGTGGGATTCAATTTTTTTTTTTTACTACTGGTTCTGTGGGCGTGACTTGGTGGGTGTGGTAGGGGAAGGATACAGCAAAATCCCATTCCCTCCCCATCTCACTAACCTGCTTTCCAGCTCCGTTCTCCTGTGCAGGGCAACCAAAGAAGACCCAGCTGGTCAGCTGGGATTCAGGAAGCAGAGAATAGATGGGGGTGGGGCCAGTCAGAGGTGGTATTTGCCGGTTCTCCGAACGACTCAAACTTTTCGCTACCGGTTCTCCAGAACTGGTCAGAACCTTCAGACCTGGTCAGAATCTGCTGAATACCACCTCCGCATATCTTATTTCTGTGGGAATGATGTTCCACAGGGAGGGAGCTACCATGGAGAAGGCCCTTCTTCTTGGTCTAACTAGATGCACTTCCCAAGGAAAGAGGAGCTTGCCTCTCTGCTCTGATAGGTCAAGTAGATGTGATTGAGGGAAGATGGTTCTTCAAATAACCTGATTCTTTTTTTCATAGCATGGGGCAGTTTTTGCTGGTTGGAGCAAAACGTTTTGAATTGAGGTTGAAGGTTATGAATAAAGAAATAAAACAGTTCAGGATCTAATGCTTCTTCCCTTGCAAGTTTTTCCCTTGCAGGGAAAAACTTTTCCCTTGCAGCTGCAATAAATTATTTTTTTCTTGTTAAAGCAAATTTCAGTCTATAAAGCATATTTATGTTGTCTTTAACACATCTCCAGTTACATTGGGTATTCTGTTTATGAACAAATTAAAAAATGGCAGAAGGAAGGAAAGAAAGATGGATGGATGATGGCTATATCTGCTGTATTGGTTGTTTGGAGAGAATAGCATTTCCCTCCCTTCCCCTGGAATGGTCACTTGAGGAATTACCCGAAGCCTGTTTATGAAACAGGTGAAGTCTTTCCAGGCTAATTATATTCAGCATGTAATTTCTAAACTTCACTCTGAATTTTGATTTTCAATTAACATTCCCAATTTGAAGATAATTTTCTATTTAATATAATTGCAGGAAATAATTTATTGGCTGATTAGGACTGAGGGCCTGGCCTTTCTTAAGAAAACACTGCCTAACAAACCAGCCTTTAAAAATCATCTCAGAGCTTTAGACAGATTTAACCTATTTTTGCAGCTGCATAGTTGCACATAATTAGGTTTGTGCACTGTTATTCATTGGTGCAGTTTGTTGTTGGAATTATTCTTATGAGACATTTTCATTTCTGGGTTTGTGTCATGATTAATTTAAACTGAAAAATGCAGCCAAAATGTATTCCTTCTGGAAGACGTCGGTCTTGTTTGTAATTGGAAGATGCCTGCAAAGACTCATGTGAATAGAATCATCTTCCAAAGAACTGTTTTAGAGGCACCTTTGTGTTAAATATCTGATAATATATTCACAATTTCAGTGTGCAGAATAAGGCATGGATATAGTCTGTTTATTGTCTTTGAAATAAAGTATTACGTCTTGCAACCTGATTCTAAATATTTGTTATGACTTATCTGAGTGCAATACCTATATTACAATTAGACCATGCTCTTCTTTGACAACAGTTGTTTTTTGTTTTGTTTTGAAATGTACAGAACATTCAGGAATCTTCTTAGTTGTTTATATTGTAAGTAACTTTCAATGTAGCATCTTACATGATACTTCTATGTAACTAATTCTCATGGCAGAGATGTCAGCGTAAACATTATAATTATTTATAAGGGTTTTTTCTTTTGTTATACATTTATATTTTTATATATTGCAAACTTATTCAGAAAATCTATAATGCTTTCATTTAAAAATAAATAATATTAGATGATTCATTATTATTATTTTTTCATGTAGGATACTAAATCTGGGTCTTCTCATTAATAGTGAGAAATTTAATAGTAGCTGTTAAATCCTATGTGAAAGTTGGTCTGCTACATTAAAACTACTGTTTAAATTGGAATTAACTTAATAATAATTATTTTTTACACTTGATATTTCTTTCACTGTAATATTCATGAAAGCATGTGTCAGATTTGTAAATTTAACTGTTACTCTCAGATTTCCAGGCTCCTTAATCAGTAATTATTTGTCTATAGAAACAGTACTACTGAGTTAATGATTTGCTAATTTGGAAAATGCTCATGTGGTTTCCCTTGTTAACTGATTTGCGCATTTTAAAGGAAATTGTATGAAATCAATTATTATTAAAGAGTAATTAAGGTGGAGACCTCATTCTAGAGTTGTTGAAACAGTTTTAGCAAAAATGATATATCTTAAGATTTTAGAAAATTTAGAATCTCTACAACATTTCAATTTTTACTGAAATAATTTATATTTTATTAGCATTATATTGATTCTATTCCAGTGGAAAAGGTTTAAAGGTTAAGACCAAAAATTTAAATATATACAGTGGATATATTAACAGATATTATAGAGATTTTTAATATTTCTTTTTATTTATTTGTATTCCAAATGTTATGCCCCTTGTTTGAACTATATAATAGTAAAAAAATTGATACCCTGTATAACTGTGAAACACCACTCAAGTTATACATTATTCAGTAAGATATACATAGCATTATTTCACTTTTCTGCATTAATATTCCAGGACTTTGTTATCAGAATCACAGTATAATGGCCCTACCCTCTGGATTGGGGCCAGGTTGGGAAATATTTTCCTCAGGAAAAAAAAGTTTTAATGATCAGAAATTACTGTGATGATTGAGCCATCATTTGAGGGGCAAAACTCACAAATGTTTTATTTTTCCAAAATCAGCATAAAACCAATGGCAAGAATTTTTGTAGCTGTCTTGATCAAATTTGGAAACCTGTTGGAATTGCTGTCTCTCTTCTTCCAGGAGCTGGAAACCACTGTTGATATTCTGATGGATAGAAAGAATATTTTAAAAAGTGATTTTCAGACCCTTGAAGAAAAGTAAGCATTCCAAAAATTGGCTAGAGTAGCTTACTTCAGTTGCAGCAAACATCTGTCTGACTATGTTCATTAGCTGATTCATATATTACATTTATTTTCCCTTTAGCAAGGAAATCATCTTAAATAACAATCTGAATGATAGGATCTTGTGTATGCTATTTGATGCTGACTGACAGAAGTCTCTACAATCTTTTAATCTATGCATAGATAGGAACCCTGACTTCTTTAAAATTCTGAAGATGACTGTCTATGGAAATTCTCAGTCACCCAGGTCATAGTTGTCCCAGAAGTGCTTTGTCAAGAGGCAACTGGACTTGCTTTTTTTTTCTTTGACGACATTTCACTTCTCATCCAAGAAACTTCTTCAGCTGTGACTGGATGGTGAGGAATCGAAGGATTTATATCCCTTGCGGACAACTGGTCATTTGCAGTCTTTTTAGAGAGTCACTGAGGCCACTTGGAGGTTTATCTGTGTCCTCAGGGCCACCTGAGTAGTGCAAATGGATTTGGAGCCTTCTTGGAATTGCTGAAAGGACTGTGTTGTAGACTGGAGATAGATGATGTTGTATCCCTCCCCTTCTGTTGAGAGAGGGCTGTTCAATTTCGACATAGATGGCCTCTTTTGACCCCTCTTTCAAACCAGCGGACCTCTCTGTCCAAAATGTGGACTTTGCTGTCTTCAAAAGAATGGCCTTTGTCTTTTAAATAAAGATGGACTGCTGAATCTTGTCTTGAAGAGTTTGTTCTTCTGTATCTCCTAACAAACCCATCAGGACAAGATAAATCCTTCCAGTTTCCCCACCATCCAGTCAGAGCTGAAGAAGCTTCTTGGATAAGAAATGAAACATCATCAGAGAAAAATCAGAAAGTCCAGTTGCCTCTTGAAAAAGCACCTTTGGGACATTATAAAAATTTACATAAGATCAATATTCTCATCTCTGAATTCTGAATTTCCTGTCTCCTTCCCTACAAAAGGAAATGGCTGTGTGTATGTGTGTGGTGCCCATGGAGGTGCAGGGTCCAATGACCTGAAGTGGCCAGTTGGAGCCCCAAATGTTGGCAACTTTAAAGGCTTCTCCATGAATTGTGAAGTTGTGCCAGATGGGAAGCTACATAGGATAGAAAAAGGCTATTTCCATGCCAGAGTGCCTTAACCTGACTTCAACTTTTCTCAACAACAAATTTACCATAAAATGTATGCTTTATTGTGATAACATTGCTTCAACAAGCACTTAATTGGTCATCTTTTCACCGTGATAAGCAGGCTACAGTTTGCATATTTCTCAGCCTCAGAATGCATTTGTTTACAATCTTATCTTTCTATTTAATAAAAAGCGTCTGTGTATTTCCTTTGCTTATTTTGTAGAAGAATGTCTTCCAAGCAGGCCACCTCTCCATTTGCATCTGATGGAGAGGGAACAACAACCCAGGACTTAGCATCACAGGAGCAGGAAGACGACAACAATGAAGAACTTGTCACTTCCCATCTGCCTCTGCACACCATATTGCACAACAAACCTCACTCTGAAGAGCTCCCAGCTCTAGTCACTACAATCCAACCAGACTCAGACTGGAACAGTGTTATCTCAACTCAGCATAGGATGGTATGTCCTGAAGGGGTGATACATTTTGAGTCATCATTTAGGGCAGCTTTCCTTATCTATAATCTTTTTTGAGATTGTACTGTGGGTTGGTTTGATTATTATACTAAATTATATTAGCTTCTATTTATAAAAGAATCTCTGCCGGGTTCATCTTTTTTTTCCCCTGGAGATGGTTGATGGTTAAGCTTGGGTAAGGTTAAAGAAAATAAGCTAGATTCATGAACTATTATTTTCAATTTGGAGAACATATCAATTTACAGCTTATCTCAAATGAAAGCAAGACTTTCCGGTTCCTCCTTTCAGCAGAAACAAAGTGCAATAATTTTGTCTGTACTAAACTATGGCTAAGTTATATGCTTGAATATAATGATTAAGAAAGCAGCAAGCTTAATAGTCCCTTTTCTTGGACATAAATATAGACGTTTTCCCCAACAAGGCCATGATTAGTTTGCCTTAAAAAAATAAATATCTTTGTTAAATATAGATGTTGCTGTTTTCTGATTTAACTTTTAGCATAATAGCTGTTGGGTTCATTGATAATGGATTGATCCCATTAATGTGATACATTTCAAAATGCAGCCACAACTATTTAGATTCTACAGTGAAATACGTGTTTATATGGTGAAGATGATTTTGACTTCTGAGGTAAAAGTTATACTGTTTGATTATTTATATGGATAACATAATTCTACAAGTATCCCTTTGAAATATGAGATAGATAAAAATATCCACTATATGCAGACATATTGTCCATTTTAAAGAAATGTTGACTTCAGTTTTTACTTTCCATATCCAGGCATTGATTTTATATATTGGTAACAGTAAGTTGTAAGTGGCAAAACCTTCTTTTATCCCCTAAATATGAAAGACTTCTATTTTATAAGTGTGTGGTCATAGCATTTCTATGGCATCAATACAGACATAAAGTAAAAGACAGTATCTTAGTAGTGTAGTGGGCAGACTGAAATTTTGCTGGAAAACTTGCCAAAAATTATAATGTCAAATAATTTTATTTATTGTGCTTTTTCAGTGAAAAAAATTGTATATATTGCAATTTAAAAAAAGGTAGCTACAAGTGTATTGCTGACAGAGATCACATGCTGGATGTGCTTTTTCAAACCCTTCTCCTTCTTTAAAATGTAGGCTTTACCCCCTCTTTCCATTCTCACTTTTAGCTATTTCTTTTTAGAGGAATTGACTTCATTACAGAGCTGCTTACTTGAAAGGCTCCCAAATTTATGAAATTGAGTGCAATCACTTATTGAAGTCTAGTTGAATTTAATGGGATTTAATCCTTATTAGAGATTTAAAGATTGTTTTTTTTACTATGAATATAGTAAAGAAGTTACTATATTCTAGTTCATGCTTCTTGCTCTTCTTGAGAATACAGTAATGATGGGGTCGGTTTTGTTGGTTTAGTACCCCAATACTTTCTTGCAAGTACAGGTTTAGATGTTAGCTGAGCATCTTCAGGTAATGACCTCCAATTGCCTAGCCACCTGCCAAGCATTGTATTTAAGGATGTCTCTCCTTGCCACAAGTTTGCCTGTCACCTTATCTGTATGCATTTTTTTGTGCAATATCTGAACACCAAAGTTGGAACCAACATTCTGCTCTGGCTCAGTGCCTCTGAATTGATTTAGTATGTAAAATGAGGCAGCTAAATGTCTTGCTCCTTACATCATCCCTCAATGTAATCTCTCATCTGTCTGTCTGATCAGGTGTGACATCATATGGTGTCAGCTAGGCAGCAGTTACTTTCTGATGGCTTGCCATTTTCTGCCCAGTGCCTAGCTTCATCTCATGCTAGATTTGGGATGATGTAGGAGCAAAATTTGGTGCTGACTTGGATACTGAGGGGACGCAAGGACACATCATCTTTTTAAAATAAAGATTTCTGGCTTTTTGTTACTGTGTAAATTTTCCAAAAAGACACAGATGTGATGTGATTTCTGTAAAATGTATCTTTCTCCATGGTTGTGGGGGCAATTCCAAAGAGGGTTCCCAATTCTGATGTTCTTCCCTAAAGCACAAACTAAGTTCCCTAAGTTGGTCATACTACATAATGAGAGAAAAAAGGTGCCTCTAAATCAGAGGTGGTATTCAGCAGGTTCTGACCAGTTCTGGAGAACCGGTAGCGGAAATTTGGAGTAGTTTGGAGAACCGGCAAAATCTGGAGATTTTACAGCATCCTTCCCCTGCCACGCACACCAAGCCACGCCTACAGAACCGGTAGTAAAAAAAAATGAATCCCACCACTGCTCTGAATCCAGGTGTTAGGGCCTTATACAGTTAATGAGATCAATCACTTATAAAGTAACTGCAAGCAAATGCAAAGGAGACAGTACAAAGTCCATGGATGCTTTATTTTCCCTTCAAGATTTTCTGTTTCTATGGGAAAATTAAGCTTCACATCAACTTTAGCATTTTCAAGAAGCAAAAAGAGATACAAGATAGACCATTATCAGATTTTTGAATCACCTTTGAAAGACTTACTTGAAAATCATTACTGATCTCATGGCCTTCAGTAGGCTAAGTAATTCCATATAAGCAAGGACTAACTAGTGCAGATCTGATATTTAAAAGAAAATTATCTCAGTAAGTACTGTATACCTCATGGGAAAAGCATTATAGCTTATAACATAGTTAGCTATTAACTGTGTTTTATCATGGTGCATCTAGATCTTGCTTAAATGGCAGGTTGTTCATAGCATTCATTTGATCAAACCCTTTTGATCATTCTTGAATTTTTTTTTTTAGTTTGTGTGCCTCAATTAGGACAAGAAGCTTTGTGTTCACAGTTGTGTGTTCAATGTTCTCAATTTTCCTACCAGTTCATATTTGACATACAGTATTTTGAAAAAAGAAAATTAAGCTTCCATGTTTTAGGCATTAACACTTTGATATTGTGTGTGAAATTTTGACATGGCAATGATCAGAAGATAAACATGTATATTTTGTCCACTACTGATGTGTGATCAGTGTAAGATGTGAAGTCCATACAACTTTTCTCTGGATATGAATGTGCCATGGAAGAAAAGATTCCCGATCATCTCTTGAGAACGAAGTACTAATTCCTAAATTATAGACAGTGAAAATATTATAGAATTCCATCTGTGGCCTTTTCATGAGTGGTTGAAGATGTTAAATAATAAGCTTTCTCCTTATGTATTTAATAATTTTTTCCACATCTTATATTAAGAAATAAAAGTATGGTGGCAATGGAAAAATGGTGGAAAGCATACCAAAAGCTTGTAGGGAGATGATGATGGAAAGGTATAGAGGAGGTATACTTCAGTAGTTACTGTTCCTATAGATCAATAAATATGCCCATTTATTGCTGCAGCACAGGGTGATTTTGTAACCAAATATTCGGTATACTTAACATTTATATTATCTTGATAAAGATTTGCTTTTATATGAAATGATATGCAGGATGGATTGAAAGTGAGAAATAGTGCTGCTAGATGGAAAAATACATCACTGTCTACATTTCTTCCATATATTTTAAATCATTTTTAGAAGTACATTTTAAAATTTGTACATATTTCATATTCATTATGTTTTATATATGTGTGTTGTCTGTGTATCTGTGTAGATGCTGTAATACATCATTTATTTTGTTGTACTTTTTTGTATTTTTAACCATAATGTTATAGATGTAAATATCTTGATATTTCTTGTAAATATCCTGGTATATGGTTTTTGGTATATACTGTAGATTTAGAAAATTTCAGAATTCATATACTGATTTGTAAAGTGAAAATATGGTGGATTTATATCAAAGGGCAAAGTTTATTTTTGTTTCTAATCCCTAATTCTTAAATGAGAACTGAATTACTGAGTGGTTTTTTGGAGCGTAGAATTTATTTTATTTATTAATTATATTTCTATAGCCATTCAAATCTATGATGGACCCTCCAAAAGCTACTTATGACCTGGTTTCAAAGTTCTGACTTGTCTCTCCCATGACCATGTGAACACAGTTTGGACACTTGACAACTGGCCTGCATTTATTGTTGTTTGTAGTGTCCCATGCTCATTTGTCAGTGATCTACAACTTCTTTTGCCAGAAAGAAGGCAGAAGGCATAGTCTTCTATGAATTCGTAGAAATCACCACTAGTTTGTAAAAATTACTACCCACATGAATAATCTTTTCACACCAAGTATAATAATGGAGATATTTATTAATTTATCTTCTTCTGCCATGAAATTAACAGCTCAGGTAATATCTAAACCACTCTACATAGATTTTAATTTTTAATGTTTAAAGCATATATAGCATCATTTACAGGTAAGAAATAATTATCAAATGTCAGTTCCTAAACAGATGAGGTTATTAATATTAAGAACAACATGAGTTCTGGTCACAGCAAGGACAAGTCACAAATTGTTGAACATCTCCATTCCCAGAAGATCTTGCCAAGGTTCCATAGTTTCCAGGAACTGAGTTGTTGGACAGTTTGTGGCTTGTCCTTACTGAAATTGTTGCGGAGCGTTAGAGATGCTGCACTGCTAACATGAGTAAATCATTCATGTGAATAGTTACATATTGGGGCCAATTAATGATTTATCGGTTGATGCCACCTAATTCAGATATGCAAGATTTAATAATAAGAAGGGATATGAAAAATGCCCTAATTTCCAGCATTCTGAATAGGACCACTCATCTGACTGACAGTATAAGATCACAGCAACATAATATAGTGGAGAGCCTATATATTTAACTTATATGTATCATTACATTAATTGTACAAATGAAAATTATCTTTAAACTTTTAGGAATTGCTTTTTTACTGAGTATGTGTGTCTGGAAACTAAAATATTTTGCTTTAACGTCCCCTCCAGTATTCCCAACTGTTACTTATATGATGAATTTAACAAATGGGAGGTGCATTTAGAAATTATTTTTGCACTTACTCTTCATTTAATAAATGTCTGTGGAGATTCTTCATTTGATAGATTCAAGAAAAGGTAACAATTTCTATGTTCGAGTAGC